TCATATAGTCCAGCTTCTCAGATTATTTGCTCAGCATACAGATTGAATATGGTGAAAGCATGCAACCCTGATGTACACCTTTCCTGACTTTAAACTACGAAGTATCCCCTTGTTCTGTTCAAATGGCTGCCACTTGATCTTTGTACTGGTTCCTCATGGGCACAATTAAGCATTCTGGAAGTCCCATTCTGTGTGATGTTATCCATAATTTGTTATGATCCACACAGTCGAATGCCTTCGCATAGTCAATAAAACACAGGTAAACATCTTTCTGGTATTCTCTGCTTTCAGCCAAGATCCATCTCACATCAGCAATGGTATCCCTGGTTCCACATCCTTTTGAATCCAGCTTGAATTTCTGGCTGCTCCCTGTTGATGTACTGCTGTAGCTGATTTTGAATGATACTCAGCAAAATTTTACTTGAGTGTGATATTAATGATATTGTTCGATAATTTCTGCATTCTGTTGGATCACCTTTCTTTGGAATACACATACATATGGATCTCTTCCAGTTGGTTGGCCAGGTGGCTGTCTTCCAAATTTCTTGACATAGACAAGTGAGCACTTCCAGCACTGCATCCATTTGTTGAAGCATGTAAGTTAGTATTCCATCAGTTCCTGGAGCCTTGTTTTTCGCCAGTGCCTTCAGTGCAGCTCGGACCTCTTCCTTCAGTACCGTCAATTCTTGATCATATGCTACCTCATGAAATGACTGCGTGTCGTCCAGTTCTTTTTGGTGCAGTGATTCTGTGTATTCCTTCCATCTTATTTTGATGCTTCCTGCATTGTTCAGTATTTTGCCCCTAAAATCCTTCAGTACTGCAACTTGAGGCTTGAATTTTTTCTTCATTTCTTTGAACTTGAGAAATGCCAAGCGTGTTCTGTCTTCTTGAGCCACCTTTTGAAATCTTCTGTTCAGCTCTTTTACTTCATCGTTTTTTTCCATTTGCTTTAGCTACTCTACATTCAAGAGCAAATTTCAGAGCCTCTTCTGACATCCATTTTGGCCTTTTCTTTCTTTCCTGTCTTTTTAATGACCCCCTGCTTTCTTCATGTGTGATGTCCTTGATGTCATTCCACAACTCGTCTGGTCTTCAGTCATTAGTGTTCAGTGCGTCAAGTCTGTTCTTGAGATGGTCTCTAAATTCAGGTGGGATATACCCAAGGTCATACATGGCTCTCCTGGACACAGTACGACAAACTGACAGACGCGTGGGGGGAAACTCATTTAGATGTGTAGTTATAAATTCACTGTGATATGAACTATTTGTAGTTAATAGGTTAATTCTGGCTATTTTGGCAAACATTTTTAAATAGAACTAAATCATCTATTACCCAAATATTACATACATTTACATTTGTTTAATAATAACACAACATTTTTGATATTTCTCTTCAAAAAATAAATGTAGTTATTTTAAACCCAAAACAAAATGTGTTATTTTTTTAATTTACAGAATATAAATAGACTTAAGTCGGTACAGTAAAACAGTGGGTTATATAAACATTTTGTTTGTCCAGTTACAGATTTTTTAAGTAAGCTTTATATTACAATTCTTTTTTTTCTGCTTGTTTTTTAAAATTAATATTTATTTTTGGTGAAAATATACAGAGCAAAACATGCACCCACTAAACAATTTCTACATACACAGTTCAGTGACATCGGTTACATTCTTCACTTTGTGTCAGCAGTCTCACTATTTCTACTCAAATTGTTTCATCACCTTTAATTTAGACTTACTACTCCTGTAGTCTTCTCATCTATACTGTAGATTTACTGTTGTCAGTTTAGTCTCATATATATAATCTCTTAAGAGAGCGCAATACTAAAGGCATACGTTCCTTAGTAATGGAACTAAACTGTTGTTTAGTCTAAAAATGACTTCAAGGGATAGTTTTGGTTAAAGGTTTTAAGAATAGCTCAGCACAGTCTACTTTTATAAAAAGTCAAGAATACACAGAGAAAGCAGCATTCTTGAGGGTTACCAGGGATGGGAGGGGGAATCACTCTCTAGATAGTAGACACTTGTTATTTGTGGTGGTTTGAAAGGTAATACCCAATATGGGTGAAGTCTGCACAACTTGACAAAGGCAAATGAATACACTAAGAAGTATGCAAGAATAAGCGACAATGTTGGTAAATGCTATAACATATACAATTTTGCAACAATAGTAATACCATCCAAAAAATATGATTATGGTTACACAGGTAGATAAGTATGCATATATGTGTATAGGAAGGCATATGTAAGTACGTGTGCATGCATGTGTAGATGAATCTGTAGGCATATGTATATTCATGTTTGAGTGTGCTGTATATATATTCATATATATAATAAAGCACAGTTATGGAGAATTCCTAGACATCAAAACACCTCGCAGGATTGGTTTACTGGGTTAAAAGGCTTGGGACCATAGTCTCATCAATTGGCATAACATAGTTTGTAAAGATAATGTTATATATACATCCTAGTTTGGTGAGTAGTGTCTGGGATCATAAAAGCATGCAAATGGCCATCTGTAATATAGCTATTGGTCTATTCTTGTCTGGAGCAAAAGAGAATGAAGGAAACCAAAGAGTTAAAGAAGAGACTAGTCCACAGGACTAATAGCCCACACGAACCGCGGCCACATCTAGCCTGAGACCAGAAAAACTAGATGGTGCCTGGCTACCATTACCAACCGTTCTGACCAGGAACAAATAGAAGGTCCTGGATAGAACAGGAGAAAAATGTAGAACAAAATTTAAATTCCTAAAAAAGGCCAGACTTAACTGGACCAATAAAGACTAGAGGAACCCCTGAGACTATTGCCCTGAGATACGCTTTGAACTTGGAACTGAAGCCAGTCCGGAAGATCACCTTTCAGCCAAATAATAGATTGGTTTATAAAATAAACAATATCAGCTGTGAGTAATGTGCTGCCTTAAACAGTCAACTGTATGAGACCAAACAATCAACATTTACCCAAAAGCAAAGATGAGAAGGCAAGGAGGGGCAGGAAGAGCTAGCTCAATGAAAACAGAACAGACAGAATGGAAATAATGAGAATGCTGACACATTGTGAAAATTGTAAGCAATGTCACGTAACAATTTGTATAAAAATTGTTAAATGGAAACCTAATTTGCTGTATAAACTTTCACCTAAAACACAATAAAAAATTTTTTTTAAAGAATATATCTCAGGGCAGTAGTTTCATGGGTTCCTCCACTCTCAATGGGTCCAGTAAGTCTGAAATCGTCAAGATTTTGAATTTCCATTCCACCTTTTTCTCCCTTTTGATCAGGATCCATCTGTTTTGATCATGATGAAGATGTTGGGTAATGGTAGCCAGACACCATCCATTTCTTCAGGTCTCATGACAGAGGAGGCAATAGTTCATGGATGCAGTTAGTCCTGTATTCCATCTCCTTCTCTGATTCCTGGGTCTCCTTTTTCTGTTGCTTCCAGCGAATAGAGACTAATTGTATCTTGGATGGCCAACTCGCAAGCTGTTAAGATCTGAGGCACTGCTCGCCGAATTAGGAGGTAGAAGAGAAACTCTAAAAATAGTATTATGCCATTTGACTGGATTGTCCCTCAAACCATCCCCCTACACCTCTGAACCAAGAAAATTAATCCCGTGAGGTGTTTGGTTTTTATCTAAGTGTTATTTCGCAATTCTTAAATGACTTCTCAATTAGATTAGAAATTAGTAAAAGATAACCTGCTCAAAGAATTGCTACCATTAAAAGTATAATTACTTTATTACCATTGATCCAGCTACTCCCATTCATGCTTTTGTTGTTGTTTTTAATCTCGGAGTATCCTAACCCCGAAACTATGGTTCGGAGAAATTGTCTAAATTTTTAATTGGATGAGACGAGATTCTAGCCTTGGCCCTTTCTTTACGTCTGTTTTTTTCATTGTTTATTATTCAGTTTGCTTATGATCTCTAACAATTAGTTGAGTCATCTATTTTTAAAACTTTCTGGGTCAAATATATTTCTTGAATTTTTTTTACTCTTTATCCCAGTTTTGCTCATACATTTTGTAAAGAATATTTGCTGGATACAAGTGTTTAGTCAACTCCTTCCCAACAATTTAGTATTAATTGTTATAGCACATTGGGACAACTGTTATTAAAATTAGCTAAAAATAGCAATTAACTGGTTTTGACATACTTAAGTAACAGAATCTCAGGTGTCTTTTTAAAAGTTTCATTTTCTATTCTCTGATACAGTAACTTTTTTTTCAGAGCAATTTCACATATATTATAATCTCATTAGATCCTTACGATAATCCAGTGACGTGGAGAAAACTTGAGTGCCAAAGAAACTAAATGTCACAAGCCTAGTTTATTCCAGAGCAAGGACTAGAACTTTAATGTTTCTATTCATAAATTCAAAGTATCTTAGTCATTTTATGTTTATTGGTTAATTTTACAAGTAGCACCAACAAAATCTTTTAAGTCTTTATAATTGTTAGCCTTGTAGTGATTAGTCTGAATTTTTTTAAAATGAGCCACTGGAAATATTTCAATCATTTTTACTTGGCTACCACTGTTTCTTCCCAAGTAGTCCTAAAGTAATGGGAAAGTAATAGCAGATAGTTATCCAATTTCTTTAAAGACACAAAAACCTTCCAGGATTTTCTGTTTTGGATTGTGCTGAATTTTACCTGTTTAGCAAAAGGGACTCTTTATGACATTTTAAGAACATATTTTTAGTGATTGTCATTAATTGAACTTATCTCCCACTGAGTCTCTTGTACATGAATTGAATCCTTGTAAGTAGTTCTCTTCTAAGTAATCAGCAAGTTCAGACTAATTTATTCATTCACCAAGGTCATGGACTGTTGCCTTCCTTCTTTTGGTCCCCTGCATCGCACAACACAGTGCTTGGTACATACTTACTCATTTGCTAAATACTGATTGAGTAAAGTATCTTGAATTTGTTGTTTAAGAAGTTGTTTTTTATTCTGACAACTAATGAGTTGGGTGGGGTGGTATTCCCATTAGGCATCTGAAGAGGATACTTCCAGTTCTCTCGTGAAAGACCACCTTTTCCAGCAAGACACCATTGTTACGAGTGAGCCTTACAGAAGCTCAAATATAAGACCTTCTCCATTTGAAGATCTGAATGCCAGAAGACCCTACTTGCAAAGCCAAGCCAATCAGGTGAGAAGATACGTAATTTTCAGCATGTTAATAAGGTGTGTAGAAATCGAATGTGTTAGAAAAAGACGTTAAGACCATTTGCCCATTACCAGACAGAATAAACGACAAAGCCCAGAAACAAACAGACATACCAGGAGAATATGATTTACAATGAATCAAATCCAAAATGAGAGAAGAAACATAGATACATAGACCATCATAAGATAGATTGACACAGTAGCTGCAGCAGTGGGCTCAGACATAGCAACAACTGTGAGGATGATGCAGGACTGGGCAGTGTTTCATTCTGTTGTACATGGGGTTGCTGTGAGTCGGAACCTACTCGAGGGCACCTAACAACAACAGCATAGACCGTAAAGTCCTATGTAGATGTAACAGTTGAGCCATAAATTTGAGTTTAAACTTTTTGTTGGCAAAGATGAAAAGGGGAATGTATCATTTACATTTCATTTATCCAGGAAGAAAAAGCATTCCAACCTCTTGGGAACCAAAACTTTCCCTAGCATTGCTCTATAAGAAACGTCTCACATGAGAGATTATTACATACCTGTAGCAAATACACTGACACATTTCATAAGGTTGTGTCTTATAGTATGCCTCAGAAACTGAGAACGTACTCCTAAGTCAGTTCGGTGAAGGCATTTCCATTGGGCATCAAGTCTACAGCCTTCTGATGCATCCGACTTGATCTAGAAAGGAAACCTTGATTGCAGGACATAACCCTGTTTTGTGCACAGGAGTTATCAATCAGAAGACCGTTCTTGACCCTAATTAGTCATGGTAACAAATGGTGGTGGTTGTATGTTAGTGGGCATTCAAAACTGTTACTCTGTGTGAACTCAAGCCATACCCAGTATCTGTCCACAAAATCAGAGGCCAATCAAAGTGGTTTAAAAAAATGTTTTTAAATAATTTATCCTTCTTGATAGATAGCTATAAGATGCATTAGAGTCCAGTCGCATACCAACTTTGCCTAAAGCCCACCTGATTCTCATTTAAAATTTGACCTGAGGAACTCAAATGTGCCATTTGCTCAGGAAGAACTTCTGCATACACTAGATAGATAGTGAAACAAATCAGATGAACTTTGAGAGAAGGCATTGTGTTCAACAAATTATTAGCGTTAATTGTGTTTATACTATATGTCAGACACTGTGCTTAGAATTGGGATACATAGGAAAATAAACCATGGTCTGTGTTCTAAAGGAGTTTCTGGTGAGGTAATAGACCCATGCTCATCGTGCTGTGGGAGCAGAGGGGACATTGAACTCATTCTGGCAGATGAGGAATTTTTTTCTAGATATGCCTAAGATGAGAAGAATTGTTAACTGATTGACAAGTAGGTGATGAAATTAGAGGGTCAAGGTTTACTTTTTCTCCATCTGGATAGCCAGTTGATCCAGCACCATCTGTTGAAAAGCCCATGCTTCCCAAAACTGCGGCACTGCAGTATCAGCTTTGTCATGGCTGGATATGTGTGGATCTGCTTCTGATCTCTGCTCTGTTCCTTGGCCTATTTGTTTGTATTTATACCAGCGCTCTGCCGTTTTAATTGCTCTGTCTTTATAGTAAGTCTAGATCTGGTAGGTAAGTCGTCTAAATTTATCCTTCAAGATTTTCTTTGTTCTTTTTAACCTATGTAAATATTAGTTTCAGCTTATCAGTATCCACAAAAATTTTGATTGAGATTGTATCACATGCTTTTCTGCGATAATTGAGATGAACCTTTTTTTTTTTCTCTTTTATTCTGTTGATTGGTAAGTTACAATAATTGGTTTGCAACCTTGCACTCTTGGAATAAACCCATCTTGGTTGTCATGTAATATTCTTTATACACACACATACATATCCATGCCCATGTAAAATTGGATTTGATTAATAGTTCATCTAGGATTTCTGTCTGTGTTTATGAAAGAGATTGGCGTATAATTTCCTTTTCTTATAAGCACATCATGTGTTGTTATCAAGGTTATGCTAACTTCATAAAACGAGTCAGGCAGTGTTCCTTTTTTGTGGTTTGTGGAAGAGTTTAAGATTGGTTGTTATTTCTTTCTTAAACGTTTGGTAGCATTCTCAGATTAAGTCACCTGGGCCTGGAGTTTTCTTTGTGAGATGATTTTTAATTATAGATTAATTTCTTTAACAGACAGCACTATTCCGATTTTCAAATTCTTTTTGTGTCAACTATCACAAGTTGTGTTTTATAGAATTGTGTCCATTTCATCTAAATTTTCCAACTTATTGGCATAAAGATTTACTTATCGCATTTTTCATTTCTGATACTAGAAATATGTGCCTTCTCTCTTTCTGTTTGATCCTTCTTGCTTAGGGGTTTATAAATTTTATTAGCCTTTTCGGTGACTTAACTGACGAAATTTTTGCTGTCCTTGCTTTTCATTTCACTGATTTCTGTTCTTAACTTTTATTTTTCTACTTAGAGTTTAGCTTTTAGCTTCTTATGGTGGATGCTTCTTGTGGATGCTTAGATCCTTGATTTTTTTTTTAGCCTTTTTTTTTTCTAACCAACATATTTAAGGCTATAAATTTCATGTAAGTGCAGCTTTACCCACATTTTACAAGATTTTATATTTTTTGTTTCCTTTTTATGGAACCCTTCAAATATACCAGAAATAGAATGAATATGTAATGGAGTGAGCTACTCTATACTACCCTGCTTCAACAGTTATCATTGGCATCGTGCGTTTTCATTATTATTTAGGAGTGTATTTGATTTCTAAACATTTGGGATTTTCTAGTTAACTTTTTATTACTAATATCTGGTCAAAGAATATACTCTGTATGATTTCTTTTTTTTAACGTTTGTTGAGACTTGGTTTGTGACCCATGATATGGTTAGTGTTCTATGTACACTTGAAAAGAATGTGGGTTCTTAGTCATTGGATACGGTGTTCTTTCTATATATTGGGTCACTTTTGTTGTTCAATAATCTGCTTGTTAATAACTGAGCACAAGCTGTCTTTGAAAATCTCCAACTATGATCGTGGAGTTGTCTCCTTTTAGCTTCATCAGCGGTTTGTTTGACATATTTTGAGGCCCTGTTATAAATTGCCTGTAATTTTAGGACTGTTGCACTTTTTTGTTGAGTTGACCCTTCGCTGTTATGAAACATCGTCTTTATATCTAGTACTGTTTCTTGCCCCAGCATCTGCTTTATCTGATGTTAGTGCAGCTATATCCGCTTCCGTCTGGTCAGCATTTGCACAGTATGTATTTTTCTATCCTTTTACTTTCAACATTTCTGTGTTTTATATTTGAAAGATGCTTTTTTCAAACAGCATGTAGTTGGGCTTTGTTTTCTTCTTTTTTCCCTTCCTTTGGCTTATTTAACTTTATTTAATTACTCAGTTTTCTCCTCTATTAGCTTATGGGTGATAAAATTGTTCAGTATTCTTCGTGATTATCCTGGAGATTGCAACACTTTGACTCCTTAGGCTCTACCACAAATTAATATGTTTTTACCATTTCCTGGACAACAGCTTTATTCCATTTATGCCTCTCTTGTGTTGTTGTTGTCGTGAATTTTAACTTCATATATATGTTTAAAGCCTCACAAAATATTTTAAACAGTCAGTATTCATTTAGATTTACCCACCTATTTATGCTTTTTGATGGTCTTCAATCCTTTGTTTACTATTATCCTTCCGTGTAGGATCATTGTACTTCTGTTTCTTTTATCATTGTTGGTGAATCTCAGTTTTTGTTTGTCTCAAAGCAGCTTTTATTTCTCCATTTTTTTTTGTAAGTTTTTTTGTTGACTATGAAATTCCAAGTTATTTTTGTATTTTCTTTCAACATTTTAGAAAATGTCCCCTATTGTCTTCTAACTTCCTGCCATTTCTTTTGAGAAATATTGTTGTATTTGTCTTTGGTTTTCGGCTGTTTTATTATGCTATGCCTTGGTATGATGTTATTTATAGAGCTCCTTGAATTTGTGGCTTGATGTCAAGTTAGAGCAGGCTATTTATTTGCTAGTCTTGTTGTTAGGCATACTGTAAGTGCAAACTTTCTTACCCTGATATTCATATGCAAGAGTTTCTTTAGATACATAGGAGTGGGTCTTTAACATAGGTATGCTGTAAACAGCTCTGAGACAAATTAGGCTGTAGCATTGATGTGTGCCATGTATGCAGTAGTATATGTGGAAGATTATAGATATAGCTGTGACTGGACGAATGGAAATGGAAAACTCAAGGTGGTAATGAGATTAGTGCTGACACCTTGCAGGGAAGTGCAGCCTATGTCACTAAACCACATCGAATGGGAAACTAATTTGCTCTGTAAACCTTCACCCAAAGCACAGTAAAAAAATGAAAGAAATAGCTGTGATTGTTTCTTTACAAATTGACTTCAACTACATGTTCTTATATAACTTAGTAACTGAGTAATAAAATTTTTAGTGTACCACTTCTCTGTATGTTCTGGGTACAGATCCTTTTAGAGTTTTATTCTGTGGCCAATATCTCATAGTTTGTGGTGGTTTTTTGCTCCCTTTGTGATGTCTGATGAACATATGGTCCAAACTTTAATGCAATTGAATTTATCATTCTTTTCCTGGTGGTGTTTTTACAAACTCTTCCCCATCCTTATCTCAAACAGATTCTCCTTATTTTATTCTAAAAGGTTTTAAAGTTTTGTGTTTAATTACTTGGATCATCACCTTAATCACACTATTGTGTGGTAGGATCCAGTTTTCTTGTTTTTTGTTTTTTGCCTTATGGATAACTTATACTTGTTCCAGCACCATTTATTGAATCATTTCCCCCATTGATTTGCATTGCCATATCTGTCATCCCCACCACACATCTGTCAGTTTGTCATACTGTGGTGGCTTGCACGTTGCTGTGATGCTGGAAGGTTTCAGTGCAGCTTCCAGCTAAGGAAGAGGATCCTGGCAGTCTACTTCTGAAAACACTGGCCAGTGAAAACCTTATGAACAGCAGCAGAACACTGTCTGATATAGTGCCGGAAGATGAGCCCCTCAGGTTGGAAGGCACTCAAAATGCAACTGGGGAAGAGCTGTCACCTCAAAGTAGAGTCGACCTTAATGAGGTGGATGGAGTTAAGCCTTCAGGACCTTCGTTCACCAGTGTGGCATGACTCAAAATGAGAAGAAACAGCTGCAAACTGCCATTAATAATTGGAACGTGGAATGTCCAAAGTATGAATCTAGGAAAATTGAAAGTGGTCGAAAATAAACACATAAAGATTGATATCCTAGGCATTAGTGAGCTGAAATGGACTGGTTGTCCGTTTTGAATCGGACAATCATATGGTCTGCTATCCTGGGAATGACAGATTGAAGAGGAATGGTATTACATTCATTGTCAAAAAGAACATTTCAAGATCTGTCCTGAAGTATATGTTGTCAGTGGTAGGATAATATCCATACGCCTCCAAGAAAGACCAGTTAATACGACTATTATTCAAATTTAGGCATCAACCACTAATGTCAAAAGTGAAGAAATAGAAGTTTTTACCAGCTTCTGCAGTCTGAAATTCATCAACATGCAATTAAGATGCATTGATAATTACTGGTGATTGGAATGCAAAAGTTGGAAACCAAAAAGAAGGATCGGTTGTTGGAAAATATGGCCTTGGTGATAGAAATGATGTCAGAGATTGCATGATTTAATTTTACAAGACAAATGACTTATTCACTGCAGATAACCTTTTTCAGCAATATAAATGGTGCCTATATACATGGACCTCTCCAGGTGGAATACATAGGAATAAAATCGTCTACATCTGTGGAAAGAGACAATGGAGAGGCTCAATATCATCAGTCAGAACATGGCCAGCGGCAGACTGCGGAAAAGACCATCCATTGCTCATATGCAAGTTCAGGTTGAAGCTGAAGAAAATTAAAACAAGTCCACGAGAGCTAAAGTGCAACCATGAGTATATGCCACCTGAATTTAGAGACCATCTCAAGAATAGATTTGACGCATTGGTCACTAGTGACCGAAGAGCGGGCAAGTTGTGGAATGACATCAAGAGGTCATGAACAAGACTAAAAAAGAAGGAAAAGACGAAAGTGGATGTCAGAAGAGTCTCTGAACATCGAGTAGCTAAAGCAAATAGAAGAAATGATGAAGTAAAAGAGCAGAAGAAAAGATTTCAGAGGGCAGTTTGAGAAGACAAAGTAAAGTATTATAATGAAACGTGCAAAGACCTGGAGTTAGAAAACCAAAAGAGAAGAACATGCTCAGCATTTCTCAAGCTGAAAGAACTGAAGAAAAGAGTTCAAGCCTGGAGTTGCAATTTTGACGAATTCTATAGGCAAAATATTGAACAACGCAGGAAGCATTAAAAGAAGATGGAAGGATTAGACAGAGTCACTGTACCAAAAAGAATTGATCAGCGTTCAACCACCTTAGGAGGTAGAATATGATCAAGAACCAATGGTATTAAAGGGAGAAGTCCAAGCTGCACTGAAGTCATTGGCAAAAAACAAGACTCCAGAAATTGATAGAATACCAACTGAGATGTTTCAACAAATGGATGCAGCACTGGAAGTGCTTACTTGTCTATGCCAAGAAATTTGGAAGGCAGCTACCTGGAAGAGATCCATATTTGTGCCTATTCCAGAGAAAGGTGATCCAACAGAATGTGGAAATCATCAAACAGTATCATTAATATCACACACAAGTAAAAATTTTGCTGAAGATAATTAAAAAGCAGTTGCAGAAGTACATCGATAGGGAACTGGCAGAAAGTCAAGCCGGATTAAGAAGAGAATGTTGAACAAGGGTTATCACTGCCGATGTTAGATGGATCTTGGCCGAAAGTTGTTGATACCAAAAAGATGTTCACCTGTGTTTTATTGACTATGCAAAGGCATTTGACTGTGTGGATTATAACAAATTATGGTAAAATTGTGAAGAATAGGAATTCCAGAACACTTAATTGTGCTCAAGTGAAACCTTTACATAGACCAAGAGGCGGTCATTCAAATAGAGCAAGGAGATACTGCGTGGTTTAAAATCAGGAAAGGTGTGTGTCAGGGTTGTATCCTTTCACCGTGCTTAATTCAGTCTGTACGCTGAGCAAATAATCCCCAAAGCTGAACTATATGAAGAAGAACAGGGCATCAGGGTTGGAGGAAGAGTCATTAACAACCTGCGATATGCAGATCACACAACCTTGCTTGCTGAAAGTGAAGAGGACTTCAAGCACTTGCTTGATGAAGTTCAAAGACTGCAGTGTTCAGTATAAAGAAAACAAAAATCCTCACAGCTGACCAATAAGTGACATGATAAACGGAGAAAAGATTGAAGTTGTCAGGGATTTCATTTTACTTAGATCCACAGTCAACACTCTTGGAAGCAGCTATCAAGAAATCAAACAATACATTACGTTGGGCAATTCTGCTGTGAAAGACCTTTTTAAAGTGTTAAGAAGATGTCACTTTGAGAACTAAGGTGTGCTTGTCCCAGGCCATGCTATTTTCAATCTCCTCATATGCATGGGAAAGCTGGACAATGAATAAGGACGACCAAAGAAGAATCGATGCCTTTGAATTACGTTGTTGGCGAAGAATATGGAGTATACCATGGCCTGCCAGAAGAACGAACAAATCTGTCTTGGAAGACGTATGACCAGAATACTCTTTAAAAGCGAGGATGGCGAGACTTTGTCTCACGCGCTTTGGACATGTTATGAGGAAGGACCAGTCCCTGGAGCAGGACATCATGTTCTGTAAAATAGAAGGTCAGCGAAAAAGAGGAAGACCCTCAACAAGATGGATTGACACAGTGGCTGCAACAGTGGGCTCAAACATAGCAAGATTGTGAGGATGGCTCAGGACCAGGTAGTGTTTTGTTCTGTTGTACGTAGGGTCACTATGAGTCGGAACCAACTCGATGGCACCTAACAACAACGTCTTTCATATATTAAGTTTTCATACATGTTTGGGTCTCTTTCTGGTCTGTTTAATCTGATCTCGTGATTGCTTTGTCTCTCCCTGCGCCAGTGCCACATTGTATTCTTTACTGTAGTATGACTGTGGCTCTGTATACGTCTTAATATCCGTAGAACAAGTTCCCACATCTCGTTTTTCCTTTCAGCTTTTTTGGCTGTTTGCCCTTTCAAAAAAATTAGAATCAGCTGGTCAAGTTTGATGAAAAAGCCAGTCGGGCATTTCATTGGAATTGCACTGAATCTGTACATTGTTTTGGGAAAAATTAAAGCTTCTCATCCAAGAGATACTTGTGAATGTGCATTAAAGACAGATGTGTAAGGATTTTGTTGCAATATTATTATAATTGCAAAAGGATGAGAAAAGCCTAGATATATGTTAGTCGGACTAGCTAAATAAATTAAAAGTCATCCATTTACTGGAATACTAAGCGTCTATTAAAAGAATAAGGTAGAGCTTTATGTTATAATGGAGTCCTGGGGGCGCCAGTGGTTTAGCATTTGGCTGCTAACCAAGAGGTCGGCAGTTCGAATCCATCACCGCTCCTTGGAACCCCTGTAGGGTCGCTGTGAGTGGGAGTTGACTCGACAGCAGCGGTTTTGTTTTTTTTGGATTTGCGTATAAACAAGAAAGGAGTCCGTAATGCATCATTATGTTAAAAACAAGTGAAGGCACAGTAGAAAAGGTCCCATTTGTAGTTAAAAAAAAAAATTAAAGATCCACATATATGCTTGTTTATATATGTGTGTGTATGTATATACATACATAGAAATTTTTGGAAGAATACACGAACTGTTGTTTCTGACAGTCCCTCCTGGGAGTGGGAGTGGAGGTCCTGGAAGGGAGGAGACTGTGCCGTGCACATGAAGTACTTTTTATTTCTAAGGTAATAGTTTTTATTAAGTGTAACAGTGCGATTTGCATCAAAATGCCCCAGAAAAATACTCAAGAAAGATTGCTGAAGTGTTGATAATTATTAACGCTAAATCATAGATAGGTGGAGATTCATTATATTATTCTCTCCTTTTGTATATATTTGAATTTTTCCATTATAGAATTTTAAAAATTAAACATTGGAAATTTTTAACTGTAATCTAGTTCTGAAATGGGCTTTTTAATGAGAAAACTAGTAAATAATCCAGGATACAAATGTCCGTGTGATTGTTTTTTAATTGAGATATAATTTTCACACTATAAAAATCGCCATTTTAAACTATATAATTCAGTGGTTTTTAGTATATTCACAAGGTTGTGCAACCGTCACGACGTGTCTAACTCTAGAACATTTTTATCACCCCAGAAAGAAACCCCATTTCTATGCCCCAGCGCCCCAGTGCCTGCTACCTCTAATCTACTTTCGGTGGATTTACCTCTTCTGGATATTTCGTACAAATAGAATCATACAGTATGTGGCCTTTTGCATCTGGCTTCCTTCACTTAGCATAGTGTTACCAAAGTTCATCTGTACTGAGCATGAATTAGTAGTTTATTCCCCTTTATGGCTGAATAATATTCTATTGTTTGGATATACCACAATTTGTATATCTGTTCACCAGTTGATGGACATTTGGGCTGTTTCCAATTTTTGGCTGTGTATGACTTTTTAAACAAAATTTTACATATATAAGAAAAGACCTAAGGTTTTCTTTTGTTGGTTGGTTTTTGTTTTTTAAAGATAACTCAAATAATGGTTTTTATCACAACCATTTTAAAATAGGCTGTGAAGTATTTTGGAGTATAGACTGTATATGGTCTGGTTAAGTATAAGAAATTCATTCTTTTATCACTTAAGTAGAAGTTGTCCATATTTCAGATAACATTCAGCCAGCCAGGCCTAGACCTTCCGAGCAGAGGTATGGAATATGTACAACGGCAGATATCCAGGGAATGCGGAAGCCTGAAGCCCCAGAATAGAGTAAGTAACCTTGCTTTCTCTTCTGATAAGGTTTACAACTAATTAGCATGTAGGTGAAACACTCTAATGCTTTTGATTCTCCATATGTTGAATTATACTAGAAGAAATTTCAGTGTGTAAATTTACTACATATATTCTTATGAAACTATTATTTAGAATGAAAGTTGAAATGTTTTTGTCTAGAATATATTATTGATAACCTATGACATCTTTGCCCTGAAATCAGTTTCTGAATTTGTAAAGCTTCTAAAGAAGAAACAGTTTTCAATATTTAAATACTGCAATAAGTAATGAAATTTTAATGTTCCTAAGTGAGGGAAACTTGATTTAACATTGGCTTAAACTCTATCTTAACTCTAGTTTGAGTCTAGGGAGTTGCCACTCCTTTGTTCACCACCAGCCAGAAGCAGTAGGGATTGCATATTGTTAATTTAATGGACTGCATGCATCGCCCTACCTTTAGCCCAGGCCTAGAATTTATTTCAGTCCTGATTCTAAATGTCTGGCATAGAAATTCACCCCAGCATGAGTCAGATACTTACTAATAACTGTGTCCAGGGGCTGGGACTGGGATATACAAGACTGACTACTGGAAGCCCACTTTTATGGGTGAAGGGAAGGCTTATTTTGATGTAGGCTGTCTTCCCAGAAGACTTAATTTGCTTCTCAGGTATGTGTGTGGTGGGGGAGGGGTTTAAGTCATTTTCAGGAACTTCCCATATAGCCAAGCTATAAACATGTATGTTCTTATTGCTGTTTTCTTCTCTTTCCTTTTTAGGTTCCGTTGAAATCAATCAGACATGTCAGCTTTCAAGACGAGGATGAGATTGTCAGAATAAACCCTCGAGATATCCTAATACGTCGCTATGCAGACTACAGACATCCTGATATGTGGAAAAATGACTTGGAGAGAGATGATGTTGACACCAGTATTCAGTTTTCAAAACCAGACAGTAAAAAATCTGACTATCTGTACTCTTGTGGCGATGAGACTAAATTAAGTTCACTCAAAGACTCTGTGGTATTTAAGACACAGCCTTCCTCGTTAAAATTTAAGAAGTCAAAACGAAGAAAAGAGGATGGTGAACGTTCTCGCTGCGTATACTGCCAGGAAAGGTTTAATCATGAAGAAAATGGCAGGGGGAAGTGTCAGGATGCTCCAGACCCTATTAAAAGATGCATATATCAAGTTAGCTGCATGCTCTGTGCAGAGAGCATGTTGTATCATTGTATGTCAGACTCGGAGGGAGACTTTTCTGATCCCTGTTCGTGTGACACTAGCGATGACAAGTTCTGCCTTCGATGGTTGGCCCTGGTAGCTTTGTCTTTCATTGTACCATGTATGTGCTGCTACGTCCCTTTGAGAACGTGCCATCGCTGTGGTGAGGCGTGTGGGTGCTGTGGCGGGAAACATAAAGCTGCTGGGTGAAATGATGCCGTGCCAAAATGAGCTTACAATCTTTGTGTCCAGGAATTAACTAGCTTGGATTTGTGGAAGCTTTTGGCAAGCAGTATGGAATCTTGCCTGGTATCATTGGGGCCACACATGGAGGAAGCAGAACTCGTCAGTTCTGGGCATTTCACAAATGCTGGCCATGCCTCCCTCTTTCCCTTCGGTGCACGGCATGTTTTGTTACAGGTTGTAACGAATATTTGCGAAAGGAAACCATTTCTGGTTATTGGCTATAAAAAATGAGCATAAAATACGATCCAACTAAAAGGGATTTGATGTTTGGCATTTTTGTATATTTATGCATTAGGTGATGGGACTTTTAAAGATTTGAATTCATTAGGACATGAACTTAATAAAAGTGCACTAGGGGACAGTTGATTTCATTCTAAGAAAAGTTAACACTTGGAAATTATAAGACGTAAAACAAGTACAACTAAATCATTTATTAGTTGTTTTTGGAAACAGTTTTATGTATAAATAACAAATGTTTATATTTAACTAAATGTAAGGTACGAATTATTACCTATTAAACCTCCCTTCCCCTTCCTAGTTCTCAAGTAGGTCTATGTCTATCTACTGTCACATTCCATTGTAGTTTCAATATTTAACTCATCTAGTTAATAACGTTTTTTATACCATGTGAATGATTTGATATTTTCATCCTCATTTCCCTTTGGCTACAGTTTATACTGAGTTATATCTGTACATTCTGGTAATCTAGAAACCTTAAAAATACTCTAATAGCCTCGAGTGACCAACTTTTTTTTAAAGCACAGATGTAATTGTCTAATGTTCTGATGGAACGTAACACTTATTTTTATATAAAAAGATTGAGTAAACGTTATAGAAAAAAGTGAGGTTTTTTGGTTGTTTTGTGGTATTCAACCAGCAAGTTGTTTTCTTTCAGTTTCCTCCTTTACAACATTTTATTGCATTTACAAATGTTTTACAAGGCAAAAGGTGTAACTGGATAGTTAGCTTAAAACCATGTCCTGAGATTTCCACTTGTCATTCTGCAAAAGCCGGGTATGTTCAGCTGTGTTACTAATTTTTTAGCTTGATCCTGAGTGCTTATTATTCACGTAACAATGATAACTTTTCTCAGTTGCATTTTATTTTTATTTAAACTGGCCAAAAGCAAAATAATTTTTATGTTAAAATATGCTCTAAACGCTCCCATGAAGGTATTTAATCCAACATTGTGAATGAAATATCTTGTACATACAAATTTATTTCTTCTGCAGAGCAGTGTATTACTGGATGTTTAATTTACAAAGTAGTTGGATAAATGTTCCAACAAATTGTTTAAAGTACTTCAGGGTCAAATTGTCTTTTTTTTTTTTTTTTTAAGTGTTACATTAAAACTCTAAGCAAGTAAGGGGTTCCTTGAGAACATTCCCTTCAAGGGATATAGTCAAGAAGTGTGCCTTTTTTTAGTGGCCTGAAGTCTCAGAGGTGATGAAAATTAAAATCACACTACCATTTAAAAGCTCGTTTTCTATGCAAGTTTTTAAATGTCATGTATGTGTCTTTCTTTTTACATATCGCACTTGTGTTAGTGTTCTTCTTTTGCCCCAGATCAAACTGAACAATGTATATAACACTATCTGTCTGTAAAATACTTTTTTTTTTTTTTTAAGAAAGCATTTATATTTATATGACAGCCTGAACTGACAACATTGTGTAAATAGATCATCTTGGAGTATTATTTCACATTGAAAAGAAGAAAACTATATTGATAACTATAGATGTTATGAAGAAGAGGTTATTTCTAGTTTTGTACTGAAAAATCAATTGGATGAACTAAATCCAAAACGTGACACTGTAGCAGCTGTTTTAAGTCTTATTTTTACTGTTTATATATTTGAACGCTGCTGCACCAGATGATCTTCATCCCTGAAGTTTTCGGCTAAACTTGGTGTCCTAGGATAGACTGTTAATTTTCAAAATTACCTTTTAGTGGTGAAATGGAAATACTGGTTTTTCTTGTGAATGAATTTTCATATTTGTAAGTGCTGAGCGTCTAATTCAGGTTTGAGCAAGGTGTGAATAACTGAAGAAAATAACTTGCTGGCTATGTAGGAAAATGCTGTGGAAATAAACTGTGTATATACTTCTGGGAAGAACAAATTTAATCATTTCTTCTGTTAAGCACTAATCAGTATAGTGCAACTCCTGGTTCTGTACTGTATTTTATATGCAACATATATGCTTTAATATTTTAATGTTTGTGCATTAATATTTTCGATTTTGTTTAACCACTTTGCTGCTAAGATTTTGCCATCCTATCCCCATTTTTTCCTTTACAATTTTAAACAAGTTTCTTCATTAAAAACTATGATGATGAAATGATTTTTATTTCATCTTGGATCTTTATAGTTAACGTACCATTTTCCAAGTCAGCCCAGAAAACTAACTGATAATATAATGTCGTCTGAATCCCTCTGTGGAAATATTTTCTTGAGTAGAGTTCTTATGTGAAAACAAATCCTGTCATTCTTAAACACGTGGTGTTAGGTACATTCTGGAATATTTTGTCATTCTCCATACAGATTTGACACTGCCAGCTGGCTTTTCCTCAGCCTTCCTCCTCTTTCTTTTTAATCTGGTAGTATGAGCGGAAGGAGCCCTGGTGCGCAGTGGTAAAGCACTCAGCTGCTAACTGAAAGGTCGGCGGTTGGAACCCACCAGCCGCCCCACGGGAGAAAGATGTGGCAGTCGGCTTCCGTAAAGATTACAGCCTTGGAAACCCCATGGGGCAGTTCTACTCTGTCCTTTAAGGTAGCTATGAGTCGGAATCGACTCAATGGCAGTAGGTTAAGTATAAGCAAATGGCTAGACAAAACTGCTTCAGTATTAGTGAATATTCAAAATGAAACCATCTAGATGACATGAAAGACTTTGGTCAGCTTGTGTCAATTGACAACTCTTCGAGGGTAGTTGTGGCTTGATCTCTGCAGAAGTGTGAGGTATGGCTGTTTAGCGCCACCTACTGGACGACATAAAGCCCAGAGGATGAGATGGTGATGGGGGTCTGACAGGGCTCCTCGCCACTACCATTAAAGGGCTATTAAAGTGGGGCCCCTCCTACCGGGGACCAGGAGTAAGAAATATCTCAAAAGGGACTGTAAATGGATTCTTTCCCCTAATGTGTCTTGGTTGCTCGAAGATTTTAAGCACTTTCTTCTTACACATCCTGTTTTAAAATATTTATAGATACTTGGAACTGGCAGTCAGACTTAATGGATGTGCTGAAGCATTTATAGAACCAGTTCTCTTTTTTTTTTCGCAAAAGCCATTACCAAGATGGTATTCTTACTTCTCTTCCCATTACCAGTCAGGGAGGATTTTTAAATAACAGACATAATCCGTTGTATTTCATCATGACAACTTCAGAGAGAATGTGCGTGTATGTTTCTGAGATGACGTCAGAGCAGGAGTTAAAATTTAAAAGGCAAAACTTGAAACTACCTATTTGCATTGGTTATTCAGCAGTGCCTAAAACGAGCTTTGGAAGTACTACAAAATGCACTTTTAAGTCATGTGTATAGTGCCATCTGATATCTTGGGTAAGTCTCGCTTTTGGTTTTTCCTTTTTCCCCCTTAACTGAATGGCACAAAGTGTCTTAATGTCAGTGCACAGGAAGTGTGTACTTTCCTCCAGACGGATAACGTAAGGAATCTTAAGGATGTTTCTTTTATTAAAAACTTACTTAGGTTTGGTGATTACCTTTTGAAATAAGTGTTCAAGGTTGAATTTTTAATCTTAGCCCAAAGGTCCGTTAAGCAAGTGTAACATTTTTCTGCATAAAACATTAAAAATTTTAGTTACCTGGTGAAAAACAGATTCTTTATGAAATATTATTCTCTTTCTTGATTTGATCTTCATGGGTCACATTTCTAAATACAAGAGAAAGCACTAGAAACTTGCATTATCGTTGCACTAAAAAATAAAATTAGTCTGTAAATAATGATAATAATAGCACCATAAGGTGTTTTTCAGTAAGTCATACATGAAATTTTAAAATTTAAAAAAAAAAAAAAAACTTGAGGTGATTTATATAAACCAAATACATAAATAAAAGGGCTTTAAGGTATTAAGGTACTGTTTGCCTAGCAGCCAGGTGGTTATAAAACTTTCATATGCTTTGGTACACTGATAAATGTTAGCCGTTGTTCCTGAAAGCTTCTTAAATTGCATACATTGTTTCAAAAATTTGCAAGAATCATCTAGTTGGAAAACCTTTGTATTAAAGATACACATAGATTTTTGTGGACATTGCCAGTATATAGTGTTGCTTTCTATTCTTGACCTCAGAAGTGCCTCACTTGTATATTATTTCCATTAAAAGCTTGACTGCATTCTCTCTAATAAGCAATGAAAAATTGTTTAACTCATGTCATAATGTATCTCCTTCTTATGTATAGTTAACTAGCTTGATAGTTTTGAGTATATAATATGCATATATAAGTTTGTAACCGTTTTTTGTTACATCATACCCATGTAATTGGACATATCAGATGCTATCATAAGAACTTGTTTTAATGTTTTTTTTTTCCCCTGCAATTACCTAATTAAACCTGTCATGAAATTTAAAAGGACTTTTTCTGACTCTTCTAGAGCATATCAAACTATCACACGGGTAATTATCATTGGTGGAAAAAGCAGTAATACCAACGGAAGCTTTTGATCATGTTTCTTTTTTTTTATTTCCATTCTTTAAAGGTATATTTTTTCACTGACAGTTCAAGTAAAATTTATCTTGAATGACTGACTTATTTCTTGGTTCGCAAACATGTTACAGCTAAGTTTGGTCTAACTACCTGAAATGATAGGTGGAAATTTTTTAACCCAAGATGATTTTGTGTGTCCTAGTCGGTGTTGGAGTTTCACTTAACTTGTGTTATAAACAAAAGTAACTACTAATTTAAATGAAAAAAATACTTTATTCGACAGTACTAAAAAATCATACTGTATCCCAAGACCAAAATAATTTTTTGGCTTACTATGTTAGTTGTATTTATTTGAAAAATAATTAACTGTTTATACCTTTACCATGAATTATGAAATGTCTTGTGCTTATTTACAGGTTTTCAGAAATTTGCTTTATATTACTTTACTCACAGATAAGGTGCCTGGGTGGCGCAAATGAGTCTACTCTCGACTGCTAACCTAAAGGTTGGTTGTTCAAACCCACCCAGCAGTACCGTGGAAAATAGGCTGCTTCCATTAAGATCACAGCTAAGAAAATCCTATGCAGCAGTTCTATTCTGTAACACATGGGGTTGCTATGAGTCGGGATTGGCTCAATGGCAACTAACAACACCCACAGGTAAGTAGAATAGTTTTTAAAATGGAGAAATTGAAACTAGGGCTACCATTTGGCTGTTAGTATAGTGTCGTGCACACCAAAAAAATCAAACCCGTTGCTGGAGAGTCAATTCCAACTCATAGCGACCCTATAGGACAGAACAGAACTGCCCCATAGAGTTTCCAAGGAGTGGCTGGTGGATTCAAACTGCCGACCTTTTGGTTAGCAGCTGTGCTCTTAACCACTGCGCCACCAGGGCTCCATCATGCACACAGTGGTCATTAAAGGGAAAACGTCAGTATTAATAATAATGAAAGCTGGAGTAAGCTCCCTTTAACTGCTCTGAAATACGTGATTTTAGAGAGATCCTTGAATTGATGGATAAAAAAATACGTTCATGGTAAAGTTGTAAAAAATCATGGTAGAAAAGGTGTTTTCTTTGGTCTAGCAGTCTTTAATTTTTTAAATTTATTTTTGTTATGTAACTTACTTTCTACATGGTAATTTTAATCCTCAAATAACCCTGTAATGTAAATATTATTCTCCTTGTTTTACTAAGGAGGAGATTCAGTTTTCAAAGGTTAAAAATATTACCCAAGATCACTTTGGAGGTGCCAGTATTTGAACCAAATTCTAACTCCAAAGTCTGTGCTTTTAGTCACAATGCAGTTCTGCCTTTCTGTTAAAGACTTGCAGATGGAATTCTGTTTGTTATTTTAATATGGAGTAATTTTATTTAATAAGAGAATAATTTCTTCTTAATTCCACTTCCTTTTGTTTCATTTCTGGGCCCCCTGTTTGTCTGTCTTACTAGGTTTTGGTGAGCTGTCCACAGTATGGTATATGAAGATCCTTAAACTGGACAAATAAAATTGTGGTAATACTTCAGGATATCCAGATGTTTCAATTGTGAACTGATCCAACAGGAAGCACTGAAGAGCTATATACATAGTCCAGTGTGTGTTATTGTTGACTGTGCTCCGTTGGTGGCGTTTTCCTAAGGATAGACTCCAAGGGTTCGTTTTCACCAAGGTAGAAAAGGGGTTTCCTTTGTCTAAAAACCCGTTGCCATCAAGTCAATTCCACCTCATAGTGACCCTATAGAACAGTAGAACTGCCCCATAGTGTTCCCAAGGAGTGGCTGGTGGATTCCAACTGTCAAAATGAGTGTTCTACTGTATACCATACTCCACACACCCCACCCCACACCCCAAACGATGAGCCTTTCATACGTCAGTGATACCACAAAGTGTCTTTAAGCCAGATTTGCATTTAGTAGCAGGGCTCCTGCTTACACGTGTCAGAATGATGAGATCCCTATCACCTTTTCCTCAAAATGACTGGTCTTGCTAATCTGGAAATAATTTAAAATAACCAAGAGGCTGTGTGCCATTGTGAAGGAAGTATTCTGGACAGGAAGAATTCTAGGATTTCTGAATAATAAAATTTAAGAAGACTTGTTTAACTTTTGCCCCCGTCAGTTCTTATTTATGCATTGCCAGATTGCAAGATACAAATTTAAATGTGTTTTTTTCTTTCTAATACAGAGTATCTTGAGGATTTTAACTTGTCAAACATAAACTCCTTTTTGCGCCCTCTGTATTTCCCTCCCTCCTCTTCCCTGTTACATGTATAACATCTCTCCAACCTCTCCAGATCTGTGAGGGGAAGAATTCATAGGGAAGAAATTTTCAACAGTGTAATTCTTTTCAATTTTTATTCTTATATACTTCCAAAGAATGGGCAGCAAGCTGGAATTTGTGTCTTTCATCAGTAAGGGAAGCCAGTATTTCACTATCTCTTAAAATGTACAGGAAAACAAAGTTGTATGAATTTATGAGTTTCCAGCCAGTTCTTGTGAAAGTAACAAAATAAAATCTCACAGATAGCTGAAAATCCAAAATTCTAAGAAGGAAGCAGGGATCCAAACCAAATTACTTAAATTAAAAAAAAAAAAAAAAAAGACTGCTAATGAAGTTGTTGAGTCCACTGAAGAACTGAGTTCATACATTTCCCGTCTCACATCTCCTTTTTTCCTACCGTACCTTGGTGGATGGTCACACCACTGTCCACCCTGTTCCCTAATCCAGAAACCTGGTCGACACCTTTAATTTCTTGTTTCCCTTTTCACCATCCACCCATTCCCAGTTCCCTGCAGCTCTGTTTTCCTAAATGCTCCTGAAGTCTGTCAATGTTCCTCTGTCCCCGCTGCCGCTGCCCTGGAAGTCATCTCACACAACTGATGGCAGGAATTGAATCACATGGACGTCTTCATTTTTAACAAGTTGTATCTTAAATATGACTGGAAGGTGAAAGTACTTTAGACTGCAACAAGATAGTGATGAAAGGTGATCCTCAGGCTGAGCTCTCCCAGGATTTGAAAAGAAAGAAAAAGTGGTTTGCAGTGGGATTGGAGAAACCTAACAATGTTACCGTGAGTCACAGTAGAACCTCTCCATAGGGTTTTCAAGGCTGTGACCTTTCGGAAGAGTATTGCCAGGCCTGTCTTACGAGGTGCTTCTGGGTGTGTTCAAACTGCCAACCTTTCGGCAAGTAGTCGAGCACTTAACTGTTTGCACCATCCAGGGACCCCTCATTTTAACTATAGAGACTTGAAAGAATAGTTCAGCACCTGCAACAAACCAGAGAATTATGGTAAGAGTGACTTGAGCTGTGAAGCACAAACTTAAACAGAAATGATAAGCTTAAGACTATGTTCACCTTTCCTCAAATCCGTTACCTTTTCTAATTAAAATAAGCTAGTTCTCTGTGGTGGTGGTGGTTGTTTTCTGAGAGTTTAGGGAAAGAAATAGAATCTCTGGGTGGTGCAAATGGGTAACGTGCTCAGCTGCTCACTGGAAGTTTGGAGGTTCAAGTCCACCCAGAGGTGCCTTAAGAAGAAAGGCCTGGTCTTCTTCCAAGAGATCACCCATTGAAAACGTATGGAGCACAGTTCTACTCTGAAATATATGGGGTTGCTATGAATTGGAATCAACTTGAAAAACTGGCATATGATATTGCTTTATATCTACTTTTCCTCCTTTTTTTGAATGGGAATTTTTGTAGTTATCCTGTTCTTCTCATCGTTGTATAATGGATGTGTTGGAGGAAAGGACAGATAAACTTGACTCATTTGGCTCACAGATCTATGGAGAACAACCGCGTCTCAGTGATGAGAAGTACGCAGACCACCTGGTTATTTCATCCAGGACATTAAACTGGATGCACTAACAAAATGGTACTAGAGGTTGTCTCCCTGGGAAAAAATTCAATGTGTTCTTTGTGTGGAAGGAAAGGATCAAGGGAATAATTGATGACCAGACGAAGACAGAGATTGTTAGTGCTTATCGATGTGCTTCTCTACATCTCCAAGCTTCCCATGGGGATAGGTTGAGGCCACGTGACTGGTTCTATCCAATGTAATTTGAAAGATAGTGACGTGTCATATATGAGCCAAGGCAGTTATGAGCCAGTGTGTCTCCTTGGTCTCTCTTAGCCTGCTGCAGGGCTCTTGAAGGTCAGGTGAAGCTGGTATAGCTATAACATGGAGGAGGACCACCTGAACTTCATTGGACTTCTTGTTGTGTTAAGCCCTTGGTGCTTTGAGATTTTCAGCAACATATCTAGTACTATCCTGACTAATACAAGTGATAAGCGTTTTCCTGAATTCTTTTTTAGAGCATTGACTCACTTTAGCCAGTGAAAGCAAATTAGAAAGGGAATCTCTTTCTTTGTATAATTTGTATTGTATCGA